GGTCATTCCTTTCACGGTGGTCCTTCTCCCTGGAATGGAGGAAGCACACTGTTCCCCACTCTCTGGGAAGGGGTGGGGGGGCACATTGGTTGCTGCTTCCATCGGCCTATTGTAAGTAATGCTGCTGAGAACATTTGTGTGCAGGTTTTTGGTGGACAGATGTTTTCTCCTCTCTTGACAGGACTGGAATTGCTGGGCAGATGGTAACTCTTTGTCTGGCGTTTGGAGGACCTCCAGGCCATTCCCACAGCAGCTGCACATGCAAATCCCCACCCAAGGTGGACGAGGGTCCAGCATCTCCACGTCCTCGCCAACACTTGTCGTTATCAGACTTTCCCTGTAGCAATTTTAGTGGGTGTGAAAGGGCAACTCATTATGGCTTTGACTTCATATTTTTATAGAAAAGCCAAGGAGTCAAATGTAGGCTTGTAAAAACATGCTTGCGGCATTTCTTGCAGGGGAGAGATGGGTGTTTAGTACAGACACTTCAGTCTTGGTTTTGCACTGGGGCTTGCGACTCCCAAACACGCAGGACTGAGCCCTCTTGGTTAATGAGAAAGATGCCAGAAGACTGGTAATCATTCAGGGTTCCTACTTCCTGGGCACATGTAAGCTCAGGCTCAATGAGAAGAACCCTGGCAGAAGTCAAGGCATCCATGTGATGCCAGCACTGTGCCCAGCCCGCTGGCATCATCTTCACCGCAAATTGAAAGCCCTCTCTATGTCCTCACTTTCATTCCATTTCTCCCTTATAAAAGGTTGCACAGGAGCCCTGAACAATATATTCTGCTCTACTGCTTCGGTAAAGCAGATATATAGTTTGACCACAGTGGCTCGGTTGAGCATCATCCCACGGACCAAGAGGTTTTCTGTTTGATTCCTGGTCAGGGCACATGCCCGGGCTGTGGGCTCCATTCCCCGTAGGGGACATGCAGAAGGAAGCCAATTAATGTTTCTCTCTCATTAATGTTTCTGTCCCTCTCTTCTCCCTTCCTCTTTCTGAAATCAATAAAAACATATTAAACTTAAATTTTCTAATATTTAACTTAAATCTTCTAATAGTTTGCTCATTTAGAAAACTTTTTTTTACATAGATATTCTCATACATGAAAGAGCTGTCTATTAACAGTTTAATATTCTTTACATCTCCTTATGAAAGTCCTTAATTCCAACAAAAGACAGCGTGAGTCAGGGTCTTAACTGGCAAGTTAGAATAAGAGGCAACATTGGCTCAGGAGCGGAGTTGTGGAGGGTCCGCCTCACAGGCCTCAAATGCTGAGGAGCATGGCATGGCCGTGGGTCTAAACCAGGGCCCAGCCCGTGCCCCTTCACTGTAGGCTGTGTGTGTAGTTCAGCACACTCGTTCCTGTTCAAGAGACGAGCGTGTGGAGAGGAAAGAGTCCACGTATTTTTGCCCAGATGTCAGTGTCCATGGAGCACAGATGGGACAGGTGCTGCGGGACACACAGATGCTGTCTGCGGGCCCCTACCAGCAGTGCTGCGGGGGGACCAGGAGGTAAACATGCTCGCCTTGCAGAAAGGACAGAGCACAGCAGATCCACTGCAGACCCTGAGACAGGAGCTAACCTTGTGGGTAAATCCAGGATCACGTTTACACCCTCTGCCCACAGATGGGTCCTTGTCCATCAGTACCGCATGGGAGAAGACAGTGAGGAGGAATGGGGAGGGAGCTTCTGATGACCACGCCATGTTCAAGTACACTTCAGTCTAATTCTCTCACAAACTTACAACATGGTGACGAGAATCCTCCTTTTTCAAGCACTTTTGTGTGTGTTTGTTTTATTTTTATTTTTTATTTTTTATCTTTTATCTTGCCTTCCTTCTTGCTCCCCAATCAGTCTGTACCTGTTTTTTTCTTATCTGTCCTCTCTCTTCTGTGAGTACTACCTGATGTCAAACGTGGAACTGAACGTTTTGCCAAAGGCCTCAACTTTCGTCAAAGCTGCTGTAATCTCAGGAGCCTCTGAAGCGAATGATAAATTAAGGATGGAGGAGAGGATGGACAAAACCACTGGCCTCCCAGCATTCCACAGCCAGTGGCTCAGTGCAGCCGGTTGGCCAGAGTGACGGTCACTGCTGAGCGTCAGAGCTGCTTTGCTCTCTCATTGGTGGAGTGAGCCCTCTTCACGCCTGCCTTCCCGCCCTCCCTGCCGTGGCCTTCCTGCTGCCCGTGGCCAGGCCGGGGCAGGAACCCACGCCCAGACAGAAATCCTTTGGCCTTAGCTGTTGGGGGAGTGCTGGGAAAAGCATTCAGCATTCCAGGGGTGTGTGGGGCACAGCTGGGATGGGGGTCCTACAGAAAGTGGTGCCCAGGGCGGCATGCCAGAGGGGGCAGCTACCCAGCAAGGTGGTGGTGCCTTGGAGCTGTTGCAGCCCCAGAGCTGTTTACTTATTTATTGTTTTGTTAACCCTCAGTGGAGGATGTCTTTGCTACTGATTTTTAAAGAAACTGGAAGGGAGCGTGAGAGTGAGAGCAGAGAAAGAGAGAGAGAAAGAGGGAAACATTGATTGGTTGCCTCCCAAACATGCCCACTCTGGGACTGGGATTGAACCTACAACCCAGGTAGATGCCTGGACCAGGAATCGAACCCAGGACCTTTCCATACGTGGGCCCACGCTCTAACCATTGGTAGCACTGGTCAGAGCTAGAATTATTTATTAGCTTAAAGTTTAATCTATATTATTCCACTTTCCATCTACAGGGATATTGAAGGAAGCTATGAAAATGACAGGTTAAACACTAGCCTTTGGTCCTGTTTTCTCCATTTCCCCTCCTCACTCCATCGCGTGGTGGTGGGAGACTCAAGTTTGGATGAGCGCCTCCTCAAACTGCGAACAGGAAGTAGGGCTTAGTGCTGCTGAAGAAGAGAATTGGGACGGGCTGGGGGGGTCTGTGGCCCTGGGGCCCTGTGAATGTAGACCTGGTATTTTGGGTCCACGGGAGCTTGGCTTTAGTCACTGCGGGATGGTCTGTGTCCTCCCTGCTCATCTCCACAGGGCAGTCAGGACAGCGGCCAGAAGGGCAGCTTCTGAAGGGAAGCCGCCCACCCCTCTCCCAGCCAATCCAAGTGCCTTACAGCTGCTGGGCAAGCTGTCAGCTTTGCTGACCTGTCTCTTCATCTACCGCCTAAGACAGATAACCAGTTACACTTTCACCTGCTGCGTGTGCTTCTGCATGCACACATTATGCTGTATGCCATATATATTATATATTATAATGCACATTATATATTATAATGTATGATATATGCATGTGTGCGGCCACTGTGGGTAATTGACATATGATTACTATTGTGATTGATCCGAATTTTCTGCTTTGGCGCAGCTTCAAAACTGGCCTCTTACTCATTTTTGCACGTGATTTTTTGTGAATGTAAGAAAATAGAAAGGCTACTCAAACCTCTCCCAGCTTCCAGCTTTCTCCTGCTGCCTCTGTCCCCCAGCGGAGGGCGCGCTGCCCCCTTCCGCCCCCTCCCCCCTACACACACACACACACACACACACGCACACGCACACGCACACGCACACGCACACGCACATGCACGCGCACATGAACGTGAGCTCAAGCCTGTTGCGCCCATGCCCGTAGACGCAGAGTCCCAGTTTTGGCGCGGCCTGGGCCCGGGAGGGAAGCCGCGTGGGGAGGCCTCTATCTGCTCCTCCAGCGGCCCGGGTTGGTCAGCGCGAGAACTGGACCGTCCTCTGCGTGCGCGCTCTCAGGAGCGCGCGTCCCTGTGTGATGGGGCGAAACCGCGGCTGGGACTGATTAATCCTGGGAGCGCCCTGGGTGGGGATCCGGGAACCCGGGCGCGTCTCTGGGCCGCTGGCCGCTTGTGGGGGAGGTTGTGCAGTGGAATCGGAGCTGGTTTAGGCTCGGGCGGAAGCACAGTGGCTCCGGAGCCACGCAGACCGCTGGGTGCCGGGCTGGGCTGGAGGAAGCCCCTGGATCAGATCCATAGAAACAAAGGCGCCAGGGGTGGGTGCGCGGCTGGGGCGGAGGTCCTACGGGAAGGGGACCCCGGGGGCGGCGTGCCAGCGGGCGGAGCTGTCCAGCAAGGTGGTGGTGCCTGGCGCTGCTGCAGCCGCAGATTCCTGTGCAACCTGGTGCAACCATGGAGACACTGCGAGTCCCCTAGTAACACGAAACAGCATCATAGGCTGCCCTCTCCGCCGGCCTTCGCTTCCCCCCTCGCTTCGCTACACCGGCTGCCGAGGAGCACAACGCCTCGCTCCCCGCCTCCCCGCCCCTTTGGCGCGATCCAAGTCACCCCGGAGCGTGAGGGGGCGGCCCCGCGGGGGACATCGCTGCGGCGCGTTTGTAAACCCAGCCTGCGTGCACCGGGCGCACACGGCCGAGCGGGGAGGGGGCGTCCGCCTCGCAGAGGCTGTTTGCCCAGGGATTCCCACCGCCACCCCATCAGCTGGGGTCCCTGAACCTCCGTGCGCCCGGGCCTCTCTGGTCCAGCCCAGTCCGGGCAGAGCACCCGGTGCACGGCGCGCACGCGCACTGCGCGCGCGCACACGCCCTCGGGTCCGCCCCCGGCCCCGCCGCCGCCCCTCGGCCCCACCGTGAGGACCAGCGGGGACCGCGGCGCCCGCCCGCCCAGGAGCTCCAGCCGCCGCCGAGTGCGCCCCGCGGTCCCGCCGCCGTCCGGGCTGAGCGCCGCCCGCGAGCCCGCCCGCCGCCCGCAGCCCGGAGCCGGTCCGGCCGGCTGCTCCCGCCGCTCCGCTTGGTGTGAAGCCGCTGGAAGCCACAGCTCCGCGCCAGCTTTCGTTTTCCTTCCTTCCTGGCCGCGGCCCCGGAGAGTGGACTGCGATCCGCCCGGGCAGGAGAGGGCAGGGCGGGCGCAGGTGGGAAAACCTGAGGAAAAGCCAGCTCCACCCGTGGCCGCCGGCCGCCCCCTCTCAGCTCGGATCCCCCCGAGACATGGATTAAGTTACTCTCCCTGCGCAGGAGTCGGATTCACACTTGGGACAAAATGAAGGAGAAGGCGATGATCAAGACCGCCAAGATGCAGGGCAACATGATGGTGAGTGCGCGGCGCCGGGTGCTGGCGGGGCGGAGCGCCTGGTCGGAGCCAGGGAGGGAGTGTGTGTCTGTGTGTGTGTGTGTGTGGGGGGGGGAATTAGGGGGGGCCTCGCCGGTGCTGACCCCCCGGCGGTGACGGACCCCCGCGCTGCCCGCAGGGCGCCTCCCACTCCCCCCGGACCCCGCCTGCGCACTGCGGGGCCAGAGGACCGGGCGTGCGTTTGCAAATCACAACTTTGCGGCTTCGTGGTTCCTCTGCTGGGCTTGTGGCTGGTGTGTGTGCGGAGGAGGGGGAGGGCGTGTGTGTGTGGGGGGGGGGGGGCGGGGGCGAGGTGAGGAAGGGCTCTCTCCGCATTCCAAGCAGACCCCAGGGCTGTGCCAGGGAAATGCGGGGCGGCGGCGGCGGTGGGGGCACGGCTGCCTGCCGGAAGGGCTGGGGGCCTGATGCCAGCGGCTGCCTGGGTTTGCGTCCCCAGGGCCGAGACCTGTTGGGGTTGGCTGAGCCTTTGGTCCAGCCTGGCACACCGGTCCCTGCTGCCTCCGCGGCTAGCAGCCGGCAGGGCCCACACCCTGGGTTTGGGAAGGGTGACCCCCACCAGCAAGGATGACTGTGCCCAGGAGCGTAACCCTGGCACGTTGTCCCCTGAGGGTTTCTGTGCGCCAGGGTGTACCTCAGCCCGGGCAACTTTGCTAACTCAGGGCTTCCCGCCTCCGCAGCGAGCCGAGCCCATCCCTCGCCTGCCCCCAGGACCCGCAGCCTGGGGTTCCTGCCCCGGTTCCCGCCCGCTGGTTCCTGCGTGGGGCACGGGGTCAGGGTGCGGGCACCTCCCGGTGAGGACGCGGAGGTTGCCATCTTGTTCTGTTGAAATGAGCCTGAGCCTGTGCGTGTTTGTTTGGGTGACGTTTTAACCCCTTCCGTGTTGGTGTGGGATGCTGGGGGGGAGGGGGGGTGTCTCTATCCTGCCCCAGGGCGCTCTGGTCAGGGAGGGCCCACGGGATGGGAGGGCCGCTACTTCTGGAGGAGCAGCTGGAGAGGGGGCTGCCCTCAGGGTCAAGGTCTGGTGTTGTTTCTGAGGCGGACTGAGCCCACCTGACGGGGTGAGGGGTGGAGGTGTGTTTGAGACAACCCAATTAGTGATCAATTTTGAGGTCTTGCTTTAAACAAAAGAAAGAAATGGAAAGTTGATTCGAATTGAGCAATTAGCGGGCTAGGACATGCACAGCCAGGCACCTGTTGCAGGCGGAGGCAGGGGCTGCCTGCTGGGAGCTGACGGTGGCTGAGGTGGGCCCCCTCCATTCCCTGCCCCCGGGGAGGCAGTCACTGTATCAGGGGTTATTCTGCAGGACCCCCTCCCCAGACTGCTCCCCCCCTCATTTAAGGCCCCTCAGGTCTGTGTGTTCTCCGCCAACTGCTGACCTGCTGGCGTGTTTGTGTACATGCTTCCGGCTCCCTCCTCTCCCCGCTCCCCGCGGACCCAGGCGCTGCACAGCACAATGTCTGATAAACAGGGCGAGGACGTGCTGGAGCGACTTTCCAGTTACTTCCCACCCACACGCATTATGCCTCTGATGTTATGCCTGTAATGTGCTAATGCAACTACACATTTAGGCTGAGGCAAGAGGAAGGGTTCAGATCAATGGGAATGATAACAATAATAACAATAATAATAATAAATGATGTATTGTTGACTCATTGCCTAAATCTGTTGTAAATAACTCTTTCTTCTCAGGACCCAGCACAGTATGACCTAGTGATCTTTGTGTTCTGTCTGTGTCGCCCCCTGCCCCTCTGTGCCTTTACTTCAGAAATAAAGACGGACTGCTAATGCCATGTCCACTGTACTCTGCGCAGCAACGTTCTGCGTGGAGCCCACCGTCTCCTGTCCTCTGTGTCAGCTGTGCATAGTAGAATTAGAGCGTGTTGAAAGCCTAGAGAATTCTACAGCAACTGGTCATATTTTTAGGATCACCCGACAGCCCGGGAGAAAAGCGAGATGCAGACTTAACCCTGAATGTTAGCAGTTGTCACAGGAATCACTGTTGCTCTGCGGTCTGGCTCGGAATCTGTGCTCCGGTGAGATCCATGCAGCACCCACGGCATTGCGTAGTGGTGTTGGAACTCGGGGGCCCTCCTTCTCCTCAGTCACGGGAGGACTCTTGCTAATCACAGCCTCTCCGGGATTCGGGGGCTGGCACATCCGTTGCTCCCGTAACTTGATTGCAAATCAGATGCTATTTTGCATCCGGGATGAAGCTGGGCCACTTGCTCGGTTGCTGACGGTGGAGGTTGCACAGCTGAATGCTGGGCAGCATGTGTGACATCGGCACATGGAGACACACCGCCCAGGCCGGAGCCCCAGAGCTGTCGGGCGCACGCTGGGGGTTTGATGTTTGAAGAGGGACCCTGGGTGCTGCCCGGATGGCTGCAGGAGGGGCGTCCAGTGGCACCCGTGTGCCCTGTGCAACCCAGCCCCTCCCACCGGGTCTGCCCGTGTGGCTCTCCTGGGCCTGCGGCTGGTGGTGAAGAAGCTGTGGTGTGGCACTCTGGCCAGTCTTTGCCAAACCATAGTGCTGGTGGGAAAGGGATTGTAATGAAATCTGTGAAGTGAGTTATTCATCACATACTGGGGTAGAAGGTTCTTTCTGAGGACAGGTCGATGATGAAGAGCAGGCAGCTTGTCAGTGTTCTCTCGGTCTCCTTTTGGGCACAGAAAGGGAGTGGCATTGGTGGAGTCAGTTCACAAGTTGTATATTCTCCTGAAGAAAGTCTGTTTCTGATGCGAGAACTCCCCGCCCAAGCAGGCCACGTTCCTTCTGCAGTCTGATTCATTGAGAAAAAACTGGGAGATTTTTTCAGTGTCTCACAACAAAAGTGATTTACCAAAAGCTGTGTTTTCAGAAAGTCTTTGGAAATGCGTGGGGATGACTTCCACGCCTCCTCAGCCCAATCACTAACATGCTGCCGTCCTACTTCCTTCCCCACAGTTCTCACGGAGCCGGCTTTCTGAGAGGCACCATCTTGCAACAGGTTTAGGGTGAACGGAAATGTTTATTATCCGTATAAATCCCCCTGCTCTGTCTTTAGGTGCTTTTCGCAGACATGCAGTTGCTTCCTGGAGACTAAGTAAAGTTGGGGAAACAGTGAGTCTTGCGGCCCCTCCCTGGGTGTGTGTTGGTGACTCTACAAGCAGATGGCGGCTACCGGAGGGAGAGTTGGAGGGCTGCAGCCACAGGGATGTTTGAGGATCTCATGGTTGCTTGCCTTGGGTTTCAATAAAAGTTGCAGTCTGGGTCCTGACTGGTTGCTCAGTGGTTAGAGCATCTGCCTGCAGACTTAAGGGTCTTGGTTTGATTTCAGTTAAGGGTGCATACCTTGGTTGCAGGCTTGATTCCCAGCTGGCCAAGGTCAGGGTGAGTGTGTGAGACAACCCGTCAATGTGTCTCTCACATGGATATTTCTCTCTCTATCTCTCCCCCTTCCACTCTCTCTAAAAATCAAAGGAAAAATATCCTCTGGTGAAGATGAACAAAATAAAAAAATAAAAAAGTTGCATTCTGGGAACCCCCGCTGCAGGAAAGCTGGGGTTTTCCTCCATGGCCCTGGGCTGATGGTTGGCCTCTGGCTACTGGGTTGCATCTGGGAGATCATGAGCCGAGAACCTTTCCTGTCTGGTCCTTCCCTTCCTGTGCTGGGTGAGGTCTGCAAAGACAACTCCTGTCGCCTTATACTGGCTGCATCTACCTGGTGGCATAAAAGCCACACAATGTTGTTCCTCAATGAGCCTGTTTTGGGGGAGAATTCACCTTTGTGAAATGGGCTCCGAAAATTTCTTCTCAGGCTCTCCCGCTGTCACTGTGTTGGTGCCTGTGTTGACATTTTCTTTCCTCCGTGCTGAGGGCCATCCCTTTATAAACCCATCAGCTTCCACCTGCACATCTGAAGCCTGTATGCCTTTTACTCACCTTGACTTATCTCGTCTACAGGGCTGGGAAGAATTAAAATTAGTTGGCAATAAAAATATATACAAAACTGCTAAAATTTCCAGGAAGCAGTTCTCAAAGCTAGGTGCTCAGTCAGATCATCTTACCTAATAAAACAGTAATATGCAAATTAACCACTACACCCATTAGCCACGCCCACCAGCCATGCCCACCAGCCAATTAGAGCAAACCAAACCAAAATGGTTACAGCCACAGAGAGCAGGAGGGAGGCTTGGGTTTCCCAGGCAATGGAGGAAGCCAAGCTTTCCACCTGTCCTTACCAGCCTAAGCCTCCACTCAAGGTTACAAATTTTCAATTATAGAAAGTAAACAAATTCCAACAGAAATGACTGCAGCCACAAAGCAAGCAGGAGGCTTGGCTCCCCTCCAGGCTACAAAATTTCAATTATAGAAGATACATAAATCTCAAATACCAGGGCCTCCTCTTGGATTGCCAGGGGGCGTGTCCAGCCTGCCAACCACCACAGGCCCCTCGCCCAGGCCACCCAGCACCCCAAGGGAACTCCCACCCTGACCCAGGATACCCTGCAGGGCAAACCAGCTGGCTCCCACCTGTGCACTAGGCCTCTATCCTATCTAATAAAAGAGTAATATGCAGACTGACCATCAGTCCAACACACAAGATCAAGATAGCTGCCCCCATGTGGTCAAAGATCCTGCCCCCATGTGGACATAAGATGGCCACCACAAGATGGCCAGCAGGGAAGGGCAGTTGGGATGGACCAGGCCTGCAAGGGAGGGCAGTTGGAGGCAATCAACTCTACAGGGGAGGGCAGTTACGGGTGACCAGGCCATCAGAGGAGGGAAGTTGGGGGCAAACAGGCTGTCAGGAGAGCAGTTAGACATCAATCAGGCTGGCATGGGAGTAGTTAGGGGGTGAGCAGGCTGGCAGGCAGAAGCGGTTACGGGCAATCAGGAAGGCAGACAGATGAGCAGCTGGGAACCAGCAGGCCTGGATTGTGAGAGGGATGTCTGACTGCCCAGTGGGATCGGGCCTAA